TAGTGTGTTGATGGTGTTACCGCTTTGTTTTGATTTTTTATAGTAATAAAAATAATTTAGTTCAGTTAGAGACCATTTATCTAAGGTGATTTCGTGAGGTTTTTTAAACATTTGTTTCTTATTTATTTGGTTCCACAGTGTTTGCTGATTTTCAGGGGAGACCGGGGATGGTTGTAAAAATTTTTTTTTTACATTTTTGTCTGTATCTTGGAATTCGTTTAAGCCAGTGTGTTCAAAATGTGATTCAAACTAGTTACAAGTGTCTGCTATTAAATGATGCAGCCGTTATCTTTGCAGCACAAACAGAAAATGCACGGTTTAGTTTCAAACACGAGGAGTAAAATGTTACAATTCACCCCATAGTCTGAGTTAGCTGTAACATACCCTGGGGTGAGATTTAACATTATGCAATAAGCATTATGACAAAAATGGATTTTGAAAGCTTTTCATTCAACACTGACTTTTCAACATAATTGGTGTGTGTGTTTGTTTGTGTGTTTGTTTGTGTGTGTGTGTTTGTGTGTGTGTGTGTGTGTGTGTGTGTGTGTGTGTGTGTGTGTCGTCAGTAGTAGCTGTTTCATTGTAGAGGATTTGGCTTGCTGCGGTAGTGTGTTGATGGTGTTACCGCTTTGTTTTGATTTTTTATAGTAATAAAAATAATTTAGTTCAGTTAGAGACCATTTATCTAAGGTGATTTCGTGAGGTTTTTTAAACATTTGTTTCTTATTTATTTGGTTCCACAGTGTTTGCTGATTTTCAGGGGAGACCGGGGATGGTTGTAAAATTTTTTTTTTTTACATTTTTGTCTGTATCTTGGAATTCTTTTAAGCCAGTGTGTTCAAGATGTGATTCAAACTAGTTACAAGTGTCTGCTATTAAATGATGCAGCCGTTATCTTTGCAGCGCAAACAGAAAATGCACGGTTTAGTTTCAAACACGAGGAGTGAAATGTTACAATTCACCCCATAGTCTGAGTTAGCTGTAACATACCCTGGGGTGAGATTTAACATTATGCAATAAGCATTATGACAAAAATGGATTTTGAAAGCTTTTTATTCAACACTGACTTTTCAACATAATTGGTGTGTGTGTTTGTTTGTGTGTTAAGATAGAATTAAATGTGCAAGCAAAAAAACTTTGTGACATTGTGTGTGTGTGTGTGTGTGTGTGTGTGTGGGTGTATGTGTGTTTGTTTGTGTGTGTGTGTTTGTTTTTGTGTGTGTGTGTGTGTGCGCATGTTTGTTAATGTCACTCATAGTAATTGGCCATAATAAAATTGAACTTGAACACTTGAACACTGAGAGTACACCCCTTGGTTTGTCTTTCTCTTCCAAGACCTAGGCATCTGAGTTAGTTGTCTTGCTGTTACAACTAACCCAGAGTCTTGTAGCCATGAACTAGCTCACCTAACAGCTAACAGCCAAAACATTAATAGCACAAACAACTTGCAACAATCTACACAGACTCACAATAAACATAATTTAACTTTGATGAGTTCAACTACAAAGCAAGGACTGCCATCACAAAAATAAATGAAGTATAAAAAGTTACTTTCTTACCTCAAATTGAGTTTTTCTAAGCTGCTGTGTTTGCCACGGGGCTCTACTTCCTCACATGAGGAATAAGGACTAAACTGAGAGAGTGTGAAGTGAATTAGGAGATTTCTTACTTGTTCCTTATTTGAGAAACTGGAAGTGTACAACCATCCCTAGGCTCTCCTATATACTATATTTAAACTCTGTGTAATTTATTTGTTTTATATTGGGCTATAGCATGGTGTATTTTTTATTTGTTTTGTTAATAAAAGTTCTATGTTTAATATAAGTGAGTTTGTTGTTGTCCAGTCAAGCAATTGATGCAGAATTGCCGCTAATGTGAAAGTGAAAGTAAAATGCACACAGGCGTTTCTAAGTTAGGCTATTTAAAAGGAATGAGAGCGAGGAAAAGAGGAAACTCCAACAAACCCCACGCCTGGTGATACCTGTATTACCGCTGTTGTCACACGTCGATTAACCAGTGGGAACATTTCCTCACCGTATAGAGGAGGATCAGCGAATGTGTTTTCTCTCAGTCAGTCACGCGAACTGATCTTTAGTCCTGATCATTCAGCTGGACTTAATGAAATATTTCACATGGAGAACAGCAGCGCTCTGGATATGATCTGTAACAGCAGTGGGATCGATCCATAACCTTCATCTGTAGACTCCTCTGAATGTCTCGCAGACAGGTATGTTTACTTACGATCACAGTTATCGTTTATATGTACTGTGCCTTTAAGACACAACCACTTTGTGCAATTTTTGATTATTTTTTGCATTTTGCTTATGGATTATTATAAATTGTGTGTAGAATGAAATGCAAAACATGATTTTCATACTTAGTATTTGTGTCTTGATTTCCAGAACAAATATTTAAATGTTCCTAAATCAAGATACATTTACTTTAGAAGCAAAATTACACAATATACTTGTTTTCTGAAAAATTATCAAAATTAAGTGAGTTTATACCTTAAGCAAGAAAAAATATCTGCCATAACTAAACAGCAAAAATCACTTAATGTTATTTATTTATTAAAGAAGTAATAACTTAAGTCATTTTGCTTGTGTCTTGAAGTAGGAATGGTTAGACAGTTTTTACTAGAAAATAAGATAAAAATACAGAGGAAGAGAATCATTGAAAGGGAAAATTAATTTGTTGAAATTCAGAAAAAACACAGAAACATTTACATTTGTAACTTTTTCTGGTACTTCTGCTGTTCTTCAGCTTCCACAGAGAATTAGTGGATCTCAGCTAAATGAGTTGTGTTTTCTGACCAGCTTTATTGCTGTTCTTCATCAGTTCTTTACAAAGTGCAAAGGCTACAAACTCAGCTGTATCATCAACATTCACAGTTACAACATGCTTCAGTCATAATTCACTTTTTGCATAATTTCTTATTCATTATGGTTGTCTGCATTGATCTTGTATATGAAGTGCAGGCAGCATAACTGTAAAATAACTTTACACTCAAAGACATGTTTAATTTATCGTTTGTAGCAGATGTTAATATGACATATTATAAGCCCAAAACAAAAGACAAACAATCATCTGCTATGATGGTTAACTTAAAACTAACTAGGATTTCTAACCAGGCATCAGACAGAACAACAAAAAGCAGTCAGTCAATGGACTGGGTCTGAGGTCCAGTGAGGGTCACGTTACACGTGTTTAGTTTCTCACTGAAAGCAGAAGTGAGTCCATGTGCAGAGGAAGAGCTCAATGCTTTCATCATGAACAGGAAGTGAGTGTGTGAGTGTGTGTGTGTGTGAGTATGTGAGAAAGTGAGTGTGTGTGTGTGTGAGTGAGTGAGTGTGTGAGTGTGTGTGTGTGAGTATGTGAGAAAGTGAGTGTGTGAGTGAGTGAGTGTGTGAGTGTGTGTGTGTGAGTATGTGAGAAAGTGAGTGTGTGAGTGTGTGAGTGAGTGAGTGAGTGAGTGAGTGAGTGTGTGTGTGTGTGTGAGTATGTGAGAAAGTGAGTGAGTGTGTGTGTGAGAGAGAGTATGTGTGAGTGAGTGAGTGTGTGTGTGTGTGTGTGTGAGTATGTGAGAAATTTTACGGTAGTATACCGTTTTTGGAAGTGAAAAAGACTTATTCAAAAGTGAATAACCGTAAATTGACATTCCCATAACTCCCTGCGTTACATTTCAAATGTGATGTTTTTTTGTTGAAATAACTATGTTTCTTCTTAGTTTTTTCTTATCAGTTTTGTATATTAGGGTTGTGTGTTACACCTAATGTTGTTAAATGAATGTTTATTGCATTATTTCAGTTTCATGTGTGTTACCGTGATGGTGTTTAGTGTTTGTGTGAATGACGCTGTGCAGCTTCTATATATGATAATGTTTAAAAGCTGCTTGTGATGGGCTTTGGTTCATCATGTGACTTTCTCATCACCTCCTGCATTTAGTGGTTATCAGTGTATTACAAAGCTACAAAACAGACTTCAGTACTTCAATAGGTTGGTATATTAACATTATATCAGTTAATGAAATTACGGTATTTTACTGTAAATTTAAGTTCAAACCGTAAAACCTAAAACGCTGCTACCGTATTTTTTACGGTAAAATGCCAGCAACCACAGCTGTTGTTTTTTTACCGTAAATTTTACAGAATTGTTTTACAGTGCACCTCAAGAAAAAAATTTGCTATTCACTGCGTGTATAGTTGCTAAAAATTATACTAAAATGTATAATTGCAGAAAAAAATGTATATGTTGCATTGAACATTAATGGAGCAACATATATTGTGTGAAAATAAATCATTCAAGTTGTTTATTTTGTTTAAAAATCTTATAAATGTATGAGGTGGCAAGAGGCGTATTGATACAAATACTTCAGCTAAAATACTGTTTTTAAAATAATGTCTAAGTTAATACTTGTTCAAAACAATCACTTTAGCAAAGTTTGTACTATTTTGAAAAATAAAATAATTATTTTATTGTTCAATAAATATACTGTCATTAAAATGTTTAAAACATAAAATATGTTTAAAACACTGAAACAAAATCATTTTAATAAGTAAAGATTCTGAAAGTATTGAATGAGAACCAATAATAATTGAATATATATTTACAGTAGTAACAGCAAACTATATTTTATTATATCATATGATTAATATCATGTTTTTAAATATGATGGTTTCATTCTAAACATGGTGATTATCTCTAATATGGACACACAACATAATATATGATATTTACCATCTGAATCTAACCATGCCAACAAATGAAAAAGTCAGCCATTTATTAATTATCATGTTAATAACTGTGCGCCTTTAGCCCCAACAGCAGGGGCGCTTTTTACCCCAAATCAAACCATACTTTTACATATTCGTTCGTTATTTAAAAACTGTTGCTTTAATTATCTTAAACAAAACTGAAAATCATAATGCTTACAGATGAAATAAAGCACATGAGATGCTCACGCAGTGTGTGTGTGTGTGTGTGTGTGTGTGTGTGTGTGTATCTGTCTGTGTGTGTGTGTCAGTCTGATGGGCTGGTGGGGACACAACCTGAAGACCAGATTCCTCATGAACAACGGTATGAGAATTCTGCTGGAATATCAGTCACTGACACAAACATTATGATGATCACTGTAAGTTTTGAGGGAACTCACGGCCTGCTCTCTGCTGACATCCTGTGGACACCTATGTAGTTGCATTACACTCTGCAAAGCAGCTTTAGATGTTGTAGATGCTTTTAGATATAGTTTTTTGTCAAAATTCAGTCCCAGTATATCTGAAATATATACAAAAATTAAAAAAAACTTGAATGTTGATGGATGAATATTCATGCAGAAATGGAGCTTCAGCCTGGTGTTAATGGATTCCGTCTGTCCAATCAGCCTGTTTTACTGGTGTGTCCACTACAGGCCAGTCTAGAGGTCAGACATCACACAGCACACCTCATAAAAACATACCGACAACCATCATACAACATTGTACAACATACAATTTATTTACAACCATCGCACAACATACCGAAAACCATCTGTCAACATACCGTCAAACATTGTACAACATACCAACAACCGTCGTACAACATACGACAACCATTATAGAACATACCAACAACCATCGTACAGCATGACAACCATTATACAACATGCAGTCATCATACAACATTGTACAACATACTGACAACAATTTATTTACAACCATCATACAACATATGACAACCATCGTACAACATACCAAAAACCATCGTACAACATACCGTCAACCATCGTACAACATACCACAAACATTATACAACATCAGAAAAATAGCTCAAGTAACTTAGTTACTCAAGATACTCAAGTTACATAAAGTTTTGTTTACGTTGTTTACTTTTTTGTGAACATTTCTGTATGTTTTATATTTGTGGTGCTATAAAATCACAAATTATCAACTAAAAAATAATAAACTGACATTACCCCATCAGGAACGTCATTATTTATATCACTGATTATATACAGAATTCTAAATGTCGAGGTCATCATAACTCATGAAGGTGAATATATTCTCATTCTTTATTCCGTCTTGTAAATCTGACACATTGATTTTCTGTTGCCCAGATTTTTAACCGGACGAGCATGAAGGATCTGAGGAGGAAGTCAGTGCTGCTGACGGGGTATCTGGAGTATCTGATCAGACATTACTACACCAAAGACCCGTCAGACCCCGACAGACCCTCGGTTCACATCTTCACGCCCTCTGACCCCGAGCAGAGAGGCTGCCAGCTGTCTCTGTGCTTCTCTCGTCCAATCAGAGCCGTGTTTCAGGAGCTGGAGAAGAGAGGAGTCGCCGTACGTACCGCTTTATTTTTCTGAACATTCTGTCATCATTTACTCTCCCTCATGTCGTTCCAAACCACTATGACTTTCCCTCATCTTTGAAGCACAAATTAAGATACTTTTAATAAATCCTGAGCGTTTTCTCTCCCTCCGTTGAAGATCCAGCTAACCAACACTTAGAAGATCCGAAAAGCTCATAAAGGCCTCGTAAAACGAATCCGTCAGAATTGAGCGGTTTGTGCAACACACAAACGTAAACAAAGGTGTGTGTTACTTTGTAGCGTCATTTACAACAGCTTCGAACGCGGCTCAGCCAATCAGAATCAAGCACCGGAACTCTCCGCTTTATAAATGTGAATTAAATCTGTTTCCGCTGCTCGATTCTTATGGATTTATGCTTTTATGACGTTTTTGGATCTTGAGAGTTTTGGGACTTTCAGTGGAGGACAGAAGACTCTTACAAACATCTTAATCTGTGTTGCAAAGATGACAGAATAATGATTTTTGGGTGATCTGTCCCTTGAACTCACACCGTTGTTATGAGATCCGCCCACTTACACAATCAAAACTGTCTTTTAGAGAAGTGATCCCATAGACCTGTCGAGGCTCTGTGTGTAAGTGTGTGTTGTGTGTCTGGTGTTTCAGTGTGACATGCGAGAGCCCAATGTGCTGCGGGTCGCTCCGGTGCCGCTCTACAACTCCTTCACCGATGTTCACCGCTTTATCACTGCTCTGGGATCAGCGCTGAGCGCCAGCGGAGCCGAATAGACACATTCTATTGGTGCAACGTGAAGCATATTTATTGGCTGCTGTTGCTCTGTGAAGCTGCTCGTTAACACGACGAGAGCATCAGTGTCCATTACTGATGAATCAGTTTTATATGCAATTGTTTCCAAAATAGCCAATAAATGTTTTTCTTCACATCAGCTAATGATCTGAGGGATTTCAAAGGATTTTGTGCCATTAATCTGAATTACTGTCATAGAGTTTGTGTAGAACAGTTAAAAAATAGATTTAATATGCATGCAGAAATTAGTCTTTGTTCATCAAGCAAATAATTCCGTTCAAATGGTTTGGTTTGTACTGATATTGAAATGTAAAGTTATTTCAAAATATTAATAAAAAACTATAATAGTATCTCAAAGATTCTAAAATACTTGTTTTCATTTAGTTTAACCTGATGTACTAAAATAACTAAACCTGACAAAAACTACATAACGACATATCAATGTGAAAAATATCAAAAATTATAAAAATTAAAAAATTAAAGACAACAAAATTACTAAAACTTTAAATTACATGAAAATTGGAAAACGAATTCAAGGTATTAATACAAAAAACTATAATAATATCTGAATTATACTAAAATACTAATTTTCATTTAGTGTAACTTGATGTACTGAACAGAAATAAAAATGAATAAATACTATATAGACATTTAAAAAAAAAAAAAAAAAAAAAAATTGACAAAAAATAACATGAAAAGCAAAAATATAAAAACATTCAAATGATTAACACTTCAAATTATTGCACTTCATTCACTGATCCAGCCGCTTCCAGACAGAATACTGCAGATTAAATATTCACTCGCGCCCCGTCCTCTCCCCCGTTCGCTTTTATCATTTTCGGACACGCTCAGCCGAGGCCCAGCATGGGGAGGTGAGGTGCATTATGGGATGCGCTGTTGACGGATGTGTCTGGTCTGTAGTCGCACAGCTCACTGCGTTTGCCCGAGTCGCTCCGGCCCAATTAGGAGAGACGATCTTACACGTGTTCCCGTGGCCCGATGCGCGCCGACACTCTTTCTGCACTATTACCTTGACTGATGCCTCCTCCTCAATTAGATGTAATTGGCATATCAATATGCAGGAGTTAAATGGATTAACCTTCTTTAGAGTAACGAGCAGCCTCCTCCGTCTGCGTCCAGGATATCTGCTGTCAGACAAGTACTGCTCAATACTGGGTTTAGATGTGTTAGAGCAGATTTGGTGTATGTTAGTAAATGCGACTGTGGTTTTAGGATGAGGTTTGGGTCTGTGCTGGTCTGGCTGTGATCCAGAGAGTTACTGAGAAGATTTTCAAACCTCACACGTACATCAACACTCAAGACCAGCAGAACACACAGAGACACTGCTAGCCTTGTTTTAGGACCTGATATATTAAAATCAACATGAAATCATGTTGATGTGGGTGCTGTTGATTGGGATCAGTACAATTTAAAAAAAACATTTATGAAAGAAGTCTCTTCTGCTCACCAAGGCTGCATTTATTTGATCCAAAATACAGTAAAAACAGAAAAAAGTGTAATATTATTACAATTTAAATCAGCTGTTTTCTATGTGAATCTCTGTTAAACTGTACTGTATTTCTGTGATGCGCAGCTGTATCTTCAGCATCATTCCTCCAGTCTTCAGTGTCACATGATCTTCAGAAATCAGTATAATATGCTGATCTGCTGCTCGAGAAACATTTCTGATTATTATCAATGTTGAACACAGTCGTGCTGCACGATATTTTTATGGAAACCGTGATGCATTTTATTTTTCAGGATTCACAGATGAACAGAAAGTTCAAAAGAACAGCGTTTTCTTTTGTAACATTATAAATGTCTTTAATGTCACTTTTGAACAATTGAATGCAGCCTTGATGACTAAAAGTATTATTTCCAGGCTGCACAGGTTAGTTAATGTTAACGTTAACCCATAGTCAAATAGATAGTTTGTCAGTGATTTAGGACGCCGCTGTAGGGAATGCAGCTTATACTGTAATCTAACGCTAGTTAACTGGTTACATGTAATAAAGGCTTATAATATAACTATAATATCAAATAATGATAGATTCGACAAAGATATTTTAGCATTGGAATACATACATGATCAAATCACCACATTAGGTCAAATGTGAATGTTGATTTTGATGTATTTATCTGAATAGTTCTGTGAGGTTTGTAGACAAAGAAAGAAGGAAAGAAAGAGAGAGAAGTGTGCAGTGATCTGTTAATATGCTCCAGTGATGTGTCCCAAATCAGATAGCAAGAGCTCGTTAGCATGCGAGCTGATTTCCATTTTAACGACTCTTCTGAACCTTCAAAGAAATGAATAATTGAGAACAAATGAAATGTTTGGGATGTGTCGCTGCTGAGCACGTTTAATGTTTCATATGTTACTTCCCGACTAATGACACGTGGCGTGTTTGCTTCATGACGCTTCGAAACCTTTGCAAATCACTGGTTTTGAAGCAGGGACTTGGGCTGAGCATGTAGCAAACCGACAAAGTCACGTGATTTCAGTAAACCAGGCCTCGAAATGTTTTGAAATGTCAATAGTTTGCCACTAGAGGGCGATCTGCATTGAACCAGTGTCTGTGGTTAAATGGTTATACATATATATTTATATAATGTTTAGCAAATACCTTCATTAAAACAAAAAAGAACAAGCACTGCAAATTAATAAAATAACGCATATTATACAAACACTTAATAGTTAATAGTATCTGATGATTTGTTAATTGCCTATAATAGATTACGCACTTTCAATACAATATTTGCAAGTGCTTTGTAAAAGGTGTTTTTCTGCATTTACACAGTTTTGACCAGCAGGCATCACCAGCATCTGGTCGTTACAAGTAAAGCGAAATAGCTAAATATTTTGCGAAGCAATTGCTTCAACTGAATCAGCGTTTCGAAAAGGTTTGTTTCTCCCATAACGTGCGCAAACACAAGCGCTTCACGCACATGCGCACTAGAAAGTTTCATCTTTTCACTTTAGTGTGTTCAACAACAGCCCGGTTCAACCTTGTGGACCAACTAATTAGTGCACAAAAAAACAAGGCGCATGCGCGAGTTGAGCATATAGCATACGCACGGTCGATTTGTTTTCTTTATTTTTAATGACAGGGAAATACAACAAAACATATGCATAAATAAAGAACAAATGCAAACGTAAAGACTTAATATAGTATCCACATAAAGTATCATCCGTATTTTTAAGTTAATTAAGAGGCCAGTTTGTGGCTTGAATGTGCGAGACTTCCGGTTTCATTCACTTCCAGTTATTTTAGCTGTACAAAAACACTCCGTTATGCTGCTTGATTTTGCAAACTGTGTTTTTTTAATCATATAATTGGACTTTTTAGTATTGTAATCGTAAACACACTAGTTTGTATAATTTACTGAGCTTTGTTATGGATGTTTACTTTTAACAGCTAATGAATCGGAAGTCTTGCACAGTTGCAGGAAATTAAAATAAGATGTGCTCAGAAGGGATAGATTTTCAGTGAATGGTTTACATTTGGTTCTGTTTCTCACACAGAGCATCACATGACTTCAGAATATTTGGGATCGGCCTATAGTGCACCAGGTGTGTTCATATGCTTTTATGATGTTTTGGGGACAGATATGACTGTTGTTGTGTGGAAAAGATTCTTATTTGAACAAATAACCTCACTCAGGTTTGTGCGGTCATGAGGTTGAGTGTTGAAGGCCGGCCTGACGCCGCTGTGATGGTCATGTGATGTGATGGGGGTCATAACCAGGTGTCTGACAGATTGTTGACACCGACACCGAAACATCTCAAACTATTTTTATCTGCCCGTGTGTTTGGCTCCAAGCGACTTCAGACTGACCGATCACAAGAAACATCCGGAGCTCACACGCCTGCTGAGCAGAAGGTGCGTCTGTGTGTGTGTGTGTCACTGGAGGGCTTATTCTCTGTTTATTTCCTGCTACATGTGTCTGCTGTGTTTGATCACTGCGTTTGCTGTGTTTGTGTGTGTTTTACCTTGTCATCCTGAGACACAGATCAAAAGACATGCTGGAAATAAAACCAGCCGGGACCTTGAGCTCTCTCTCTCTCTCTCTCTCTCACACACACACACACACACACACACACACACACACACACACACACA